AAATTTAGTACCTTGGTTGTATATGAGAGAAATTAACATTGAGGTTGGAATCTTAAATTTTTTGGAGTGTGAATGCTTCACTGCTGCATATGACTTTGCAGTGAATGATTGTGCCTATACCTTCAAATTGAAATGTCATTGCTATTGGCATAATATATACCTAAAACATGCGCATGATAAATAACAAGTTCCCTATTAGTTTAGGGTTGTAAACCTATCCTTTTCATTTCTCATTTTAATAAATGAGGGAAAATGTTGGTTTTCTAGTTGGTTATAAGAATGCGTCATATACTGATTACCAGTTCTCGTTTCATAGGTTCTGTGTATGAGTTGACGCCAGATTAAAGTTTCTTTCCAATCTGTGTTTTAAGCTCAGTGGCCACTTTTGGTCACTATAAGCAGGTGGAGAAAATTTTGTAGCTATGTTGTTATCTCATCTCTGTATTTAGTGGGGGATTTAGTCATATAACTATTTTGTTTCTGTGATAACTTGTCCTTACCATGCTCCTAATCTTCTTGATCTAATATATGGTACTATTTGTATGGAGATGAACTGACTGCTTGGTTAATTAATCCTTGCAAAGTTTTATATATTTAACTTGTGCATGGAGTTGATTATGTTTTTTGTTAAATTTTTTAGGTTGTCTTCTACTAGGCTACTTTTCTGTATAAATTCCTATGGAGTTTAAATTAGCTTCAGTCAAACTGATATTTGAAAACACAAGGTATATGGCTATAGTTTAAACTTATTTATGTATGATCATGAATTGATTTTTGAGAAGTTGAATTGATAAATGAAATTGGAAGTTTTGAGTTACTGAAAGTATTGAGCCTATGCCTATCAATACCTGTTCTTGTAAAAGAGTGCTTGATGGATCTAAAAACTTGGATTTAGAAGGTTCTATTCAGTTGGCCATTACTGTCAGCTAAAAGGATTTGTTGCAGTTTAATGTTTCATGGTCTTTCAGTTGTTTTGGCACATTGTAGTATCTTTTAAGCAACATATATTGTGTAATGAGAAGAATTTTTGCTGCGGGATCTTTCACTTGTAGATTGGATTGTAAACTCTGTATTTAGAAGAGTATTTGCTTGAGTCTTGACAGTTAGTTGCCTGAATCCTGATAGTTATGTTTTCCTAATTTTTAATAAGTTATTTTGTTAAAATAAAACTCTTGTTAATTATTATT